AAAGAGTGTTTCTTATACCCAAATGAGACTTTTGCATGCATCTGCATACTCACCCAGATGCTGCCTCTGCCGTGCTCCATGCCTGAGTTTCATGCCAGGTTTGCTCTGCGTAGCAGGCATATCATACGCACACAGTGACCTGGTACAAGAGCCCATTCTGCAGGCCAAGTCTCAGGCAAAAGTTCACCTACAAAACCTAAGTGTGTTGGTAGTTTTTTGCAGTGAATCGGGCTTTCACTAGGAATTAACATAAGCTGCAACGACTAATCTTATACTCTGTGCACTTGCTTATTTTCTTTTCACAGCTCAACCACTTTCTTCCTTAATACTAAAACGCTAAAGTCTGACATAGCATTCAGAGCATTATTTTCTGCTGGCTGTGTTTCTCTATGCTCTAAGCCTCTATCACAATGCATGCAAAGGATAATGGCTGATTTCGTAATGCTTTTAACTAAAAAAATACTTTTAAAAGCATAAAACATAAATTATTTATTCCTCTTTGTCCATTGTTTTAAGCACTGAGTCTTCTCCCAAGATTTTACACAGTTCATTCAGTCTCTGCTGCATTTTAGGAATCCCTGCAAGTTGGGATTCCAGTCGCTGTTTTTCCTCGCTCAGTGATAAACGGATAGCGGTGTCCAACTGCTCGAAACGCCAGCCACCTTGTCCATCAAACTGCAGCAAGTGAGTGTGGTACTTCCTGCAATACAAATGAAAACATTAGCAATGGCTCAAGAACAGATGGTTCCTTTTTGCTCGCAGACTTGGATGCCTGTGCCTCTTTTCAATGTTCCTCTCAGACTTCTCTTCAGTGACTCATAATCCCAGGACACTCTTTTGTAAGGGATTTGGGTATTTCAAAGCCTGTCACCAGGACCTCCCTAGGCCATCTAGTGAAATTCAGCCTCAAGGTGCCAGCTGCAGGCTGTCAGCACCAGTGTGGGCTCCCCAGCTGGGGCGGTCATTGCCTCCAGCAGCCCACACAGTCGGGCTTGTCGAGGCCCTCACCAGCACTGATGCTGGTAGGAGCGGGCAGCAGGGCTGTGGAGGGTCCTCTCACCATCTGCTATCCCTGGCCAAGGTGGTGGCCTCCCTCTTTCTGCCTCCCTCTTAGAAACATTGTCTATGGCTGCAGTTGCCTTCACTGCAACACCACCAGACTCCTTTTTCTCCAGGAGCTTGAAGAGCAGCAGCAGAAGAGGCTCCCTTGTCCCCCAGGAATGCTAGTCTAAGTTTATTTAATTTACCTCACTTTCTGAGAGACATTTTACCTCCTTAGCAGAAACATATTCAGGCAGGCATGGTGCACCTGATGCTACTGATAGAACTCTAGTTTGTTTCAATTACACTGCAGTTTGTTCCCCTCCATCTTATAAGGCTGGCTAAAGAAACCTCCAGTCCTAAACCACGGTTCAGTCTGCATGGGGCCACAATAAAAAAGTCTGTGTAGGAGTCAGACCTTTCAGTGAGTTTCAGGGTGTGTGCACCAAAAATATTCAAAGGTGTACATAGGGACTTTGTCAAGACCTGACAAGACATTTATCAGGAGGTGCAAGAGGAAGAGCAGAGAGTTCCCTCAGAGCTGTTGGTATGACTGGGTAATTTATCACTGTAAATTATAGAAGATGAGACACATCATAAAACAGTGATTATAAATCCCATCCAGGGAATGTGACAGTTTAATAAACTCAATAGCTTATGACATGGGACTCAAAAGAGATTCAGCTCCAGGCTTACATTCACCACTTCTTGCATATTATTCTTTGTGACACCAAATGCTTAACCTATCCCTCTATTTTCCCTCCACCAAAACCCCCCAAAAATCAGGAAGCTAAGATAGATGATTGAGATGTCCAATGTTTGTGATCTTTTGATTAAAAGAGCAAATATTCCCTGGTATAATCTTCAGAATGAGAAAACAGCATGTGAACCCAGTTTTTGTCTACACAGTGCAGTTCCTGCAGAAGCATATCTGAGTTAAAGGCATTTAATGGTTATTTCTGAATACTCAGCACTTCTGTTTACTTCTCCACAACCCTCAAAACCACCAGATTTCTGATAATTTCAGTAATAATATGGAGGTTACAAGAACAATCCCAAACATTCCTGAAGAGCACTAGTACTAGGAAACAAGAAATGTCGGTAGGAATCTGAACTCAAAAGATGTTTGTCACAAGTTCTTTTGCAGAACATCCCTATGCATCATCATTATTTATAGGTGAGATGCTCCCAAATACTTGTTTTCTTGAGCAGTGGTTTTAAAATAATGCCAAACTTTAAAAAAATTAAATACTTTTTTTTAAGTGTAATTCAAATTATTTTAAAAACAAACGTCTATGTGATATTTTTTTCCTATCAGAATACACATTTTTCATAACATTTAGGTCCTGATCCAACAAAAGCCATTTCCACTGTCACCTTCTCCACAGAGGAAGGAGGAATCCTGGGGAAACCGTTCTTTTTCAGAGAAGCAGAAGCCAATATAATTTCTTTCATTTGAGGCAACAGACTGGTAATGGATTTTTTGTCATCGGTTTAAAAAAAAAAGCAAACAATCTGACAGTAGAGATCAAGGACTGCAGAACAAAAAGCCTCTGATAATGTCAGCTTCCACCTTCTTCATCTCCTTTTGCCCTTTAAAGTATTTCATTGTTTTATGTATTCAGTAACTACATTTATTTCCCTTGAGGGACTCTTCCACACTTAGTAATCCTCATCAGAATGATGTTTCTCAGAATTCCAGTATTTCTTTTTTTAATAGACAATCAAATTTTAAAAGATCATGAACCCTGCAGACAGAGGACACAACTGAAGTTAAACAAGATGTATTATTCCTATGGAAGAACAAACAGTACTTTAACCACTTGCCATGTTTCCCATCTTCTCCCAAGCACTGGTAAACTTCCCCAGGATGGCTCATCTATCTTGTCACCTTTACAGAATAATCTGGTCATATCTGTTGTGGCTGTGGTGTGGTGGGCTAATTAATTGCCTCTTAGATACCTGCATGTTGCTATTAATAGTTAAAAATGAAACACATTTAAAAAAAATAAGAGGGAGGAATAAATAGGTGTCGAAGAATGAAAAAACTCAATGCTAAATGCATTTACATTGCTATTATTGTAGAAAAGTTATCTTAGAAAGTGCAGTAGATATTGATTAAACAACTGCCCTGCTACAAAGAATAAAGGCTAATCCAGTGCCTGTCAGAAAGCTAAAAGCAAGGACCGTTATAAATCCCTGAACATACTTACCAAAGAGAAGGTCTGTGTGTTATAGAAAGCAGGGATATCCCAGCAGCTTTCGCAGCTTGGAATATCTTTCCTTCAACATCAATGCTTACAGCACTTGTGCACTCGTCCAGCAATGCATATTTTGGCCTTTCAAAAGCAGATAGAGAACGTTACTCTTCTATGTTTTAGACAGTATTCCTATGTACAATGTTTAATTGAAAGAACAACAGAAAGGAGAGAGCAATTTTTGCAAGACAGCTGTCTCTCATCCACAGCTGGAAGCTGGCTAGCAACAACATAAACTTTCCATGCTTTATTCAGGTGCAGACCCGGCTTCCAGGAAAAATGGGGTTTATTTCCTGGTCCATCTGAGCACACACTGATCTAACTTCTATGTTCTAGTTTGACCTAGTTTTATTCTGTCCTGTCATCAAGCCATGCAGTAACCACAGCCAACTCAGAAACTTTCTATCCACTGCTCTGCGTGGATGGGGCTGCTTTTGTAGTGCTTGCAGTCTCCAAACCCCAAAAGTTTTGGAGCTTGGCTTTTAAATTCCCATACCCTCTGCAACAGTCCATCAGACTTCTGCAATATTTGTAGGACAGATGCAGGGAAGGTGATTGTGCCCCAGATGTTAAAGAAAGGAACATCTGGAAAATGTGATGCTATGTTGCCAAAAGCAAAGCTTAAGTAGGAAGCATTGCCCAAACTAAAAGCAGAGCTTGTATGAATAAATGACAAGGTCTGTGGTCCTATGCAACTGTCTAGCAGTACTGCATATTGCACGGACATTATAGTCTACTACTGCTCAAACTATTACAGCAAACCTCAAAAACTCTTCCTCATTTTCAGATGCTACTTAAAGAACAAATCAAAACGCTTACTTATGGTAAAACATCCGAGCCATGCCCATCCTTTGTTTTTCCCCTCCTGATAAGACATCTTTCCAATCCATGATGGCATCCCAGCCTTTTAAAAAAATGCAAACAAAACACGTCAGGACAACGTAAACTTATGAAGGAAATGCATCTTCACTTGCAACATCTCTAAAATCCGCAACTAAAATCATAAAGACTATTTCCATTGCCGAAGAGACAGCTCAGGATTCTGGATCACATTTTCTGAAATACCTCAATGCCTTTCCACTGGCACTCAGTTGGAAAAATGTCCCAATGTCAATTTTGAAAGTGGAATTTAACCTTCTTGGTCATGTAAGTATTGTCAAAAAACTATACTTACCATCTTTTTGAAAAAACACCTCTTACCTGTGTATAACTAACCATTTTTTTCTGTCATGTTTGTTTTATAGAACAATTTGGTATTCCTTCTTGAAAGATGTGAGTGGAAATTTAAAAACAAATTCAAAGAAATGAAGTGTAAAAAACATAAAGAGCAGTGCCAGACTCCACTCACTACTGGAGGCAAAGAATAACTGTCAGCATACTCAACAGAAACACTGATGCAGATACAGGGATGCATTCTGTGCACACAGACAAGCAGCTGACCGACAAAACTGCATACAGACAGGAGGCTTTTCTCTATGAACTTCCCACTACCTTGTATTTAGAAATGACCAACAAGTGTTGTAACATTGTGTATCTTTCTTTAATTTTCTGCATGACCTCTAACCGATTTTTTTTTCTTCATCACTTTCAGACACATGCAACGGGAGCGTGATGCATTTTATCTGTGATCTCTCGGCAGACTGGTGTTTCTGTGAGTACTCTGGTATGATTCATTCCCACTAATGAAAAACTTCAAACACCAAATTACGCTACTGAAAGTAAGTTTTCAATCAAACAATCCAGACAGATAGATTAGCAAAATAGATGAGTTTTGAAAAGGGAGAGTGTGGATGCAGAGAAAATCTGGTAAGACATTTGTCTGAATAGATCATCTAATAATGAGACAGGAAGCTGGAGCGGGGCTGAGTGAGGAAGAGAACATTTTTCCAAATCAGCCCAGCACTGTAACTTAAAAATTAACAACGCAACCCAAACCCCTTTTCTGCCACTGCCCACCTGAAAGTAAACATTTGCCAGAAAAGACTATAAACAAGGTCAAGCGAGGAGGGTGGGCTGTGCTATTTCTGATATCTGGCCAAAGGTGAGACAAGTGGGGCTTGTGACGGTGCATGAGACTGGGGAGTGCTCTGCCAGGCTGCTACACCAGGGCTTGGTAGGTCTGAAAAAACCCTCAGTGAAGCACCTGGTGAGAGGCTGAGTGACTGAAAACAGGAATTGATAATGCTAGAGACTGAATTCCAAGAATTTTCTCTACATAAAATTGTAAAATATAATGTCATGTTTTTTAACTATATGTGTCTATAGCTAGATTTAAAAACCAGGCATGCACACACCAGAAATACATCACCTTTAGTCATCCTACTGTTCTTCCTTCATTTCTTTCCATTCTTGTTTAAGGATCACTGTGTGCACCTCCAACCCCACGGAGCACATGCAGTGCTTTCTCTCAGCGGGCTCCTAGCAAAGACGGAGCTGTGTAATGATTAACTGAACGACCACTTGGATGAATTCTGGTAAAGGAAATAGATACACAGAGGCTGCTGCTGCTGAGCAGTCCCAGTGCTGGGACCACACAGAAAGCTGGAGTGATGTTCCACCAACACTTTCAGCTTCTTTTTAGATTGTAAAATGCCTGGAGCGCTCCCTTTTGGCAAACAGTTCTAGGGCCAAGGGATGGGAACAGTCCTTCATGAAAGCCATAGAAACAGCTACGTTTCTGAAGGCAACGTTCAGGCTGCTGCTTATATTCTATTCTTTTTAAGCTGAGAATATAGACAAGCTCCTGGGATCTGGATCGGAGCTAGGGTGTGGGTAGGGGTGTGTGTGCATATGTGCCTGGGGAAGCAGTGCCTGCGCTCGTACAGTTTCTTCCAGATGAGCTGGTTTATAAAGGCTTATTAAAAGACAAAAAGGGAATGAAGTTCAAGAAGCAGCAGCATCTTGTCAGCAAAATCACTCTATTATTTCCCTTAAAGGTGTAAGATTTAGCCTCCATTTACCAGTATATCTGTGGTCACTTCAACATCCTAACTGAATATTAGAAGTGCGTCTTGTCTCCTCCTACCTAGCTCCCTCCCTGAACTCTCCTATTTGCCACTGGGAATGTCTCAAAAAACAGATAAGGAAGGATCCATTTTAATATTATCCTTTTTAAAAATTATTTTCTAATGTCTGAACAACTTTCTCTGAAGACTTAGGCACTGTAACTCACAATAAACTGACTCCCTATTGAACATTGATAATAATGCACTT